TTCATAAAACTCCTGTTGACATTAACATATCAATTTCAGTTTTGAAACTGAAAGAAAGGCAACGGGTGCCAAAAAATTAATTTCCAGTTCTATCTAGAGTAGCACTTCAAGCGGAAATGTCCTTGACATGAAGAAAATATATTCCAGTAGGCAGAATTTAAGGAGTTATGAACAATTCTCTAAAATCTAAAAAAGCATTCCGCATAAGATATATCACGGACTAAATTTAAGTAACACATGAGATTACAGACCCCTGTAAAGGGTACACAAAGACAGAACTAAGTGCCTATGGGGAAAAACACAATACCTGAACCGTGGATAGAAAGCACTATTTATGCTTTGAGTTAGATTTACCACAGGAACATCTTCAGTTGAATTATCTCTGGAACAGTTAAAGAAATTGATAGTTATATGATATGTCTAAGCACAAGGAATTCCCTAAACCATTGACATGAATAAGGGTCCAAAAAACGAGACATAAGCATTGCACAAATCAACTCACTTGAGTTCAGGTCCATCAGCTTCTGATTCAAAATTTGGTGCCCTAACCGCATACAAGGCACAGGGCCTATTAAAGCAGTACTTGATACCGAGCTTTCTGGTACCTTCTGACCACCCAACAAAAACCAAATATTGATGTGAACCTCTAACTGGTGGTGCCCACACAACTTGACCAACACTCAAAGACTTTTCAATTCCTTTAACAGCTTGTGCCTCTCCACTGTACATCATAGGATATTTTAATAAGTTTGACATCCTAAGAAAAAATCTCCTTAATTTTAATCCTGTATGATAAAAAGTAAACCAATTGTACAAGACCTGTTAATGTTGATGACAAAAAGTGCAGGCTGCCTTTTTCCAGCATAGGTTTCCCCCCATTCCTCCTTCCAATCCCCTTGACCTTTCCAGTTACCAAAGTCCTTTTCTGTGGAGCTACCTTTCTTGTAGCCCTGGCCTGTAAATGTGGGCTTGGAGGGAGATGGTTCCTCAGCAACATAAGCAATGAGAGTTTCATCAGAGTTCCAAGAAATTCCCTGAAACCTGTATAATTGAAAGTTTAATCCCTTCTATGTTTAGAGAAAATATAGATAATTGAAAGGAATAATGCTCAAAATTGAGGTGCACCTCCACTACTAGTCACTATAGACATAGGCAAGTGTCTAGCACACAATGCTAACATCAAATTTCCTATAAAGCGATCATCGGAAATATTACATTCACATGATTAATTACCATCCATCAGCATATACTGAGCCATGAACAGATTGGGGGATGTGGAATTCTTTTTCCACTTGAGCTCGGCCCCAAATTTCAAATTGACAGGGAGATTCATTTTCAGGATTGCGTACTACAAGAAGCTTTGCCCCAGACGGAGATGGAACAATTACAGAGACTCCCGTCATCTCAACAGGAAATGGGGCCCATTGAAAGTTTACAGAATTGTTACTTTCTCTTGAAATATGAGAGGATAGAATGAATTTCTTCCTCTTGTTTGCCAAAAGATTTGGTTGACTAATTGAAAACATTGCCTGGGAGTCAATTCCTGTAACAAAGTTTAATATACAAATATCTTCATCAGAAATGGGTTTTTGGCTTTCAATTGGAGGGAAGGAACGTAAACTTTTATAAACACACACACACACACACACACACACACACACACACACATACATATATATTTGAAGGAATTTACACACACACATATATATTTGAAGGAATTTGTATTCATATATTGATATGTCCATACGTATGTATTATATGTTACAGGACATGCATGTTCGAAAAATGAGAAATCATACCACTGTCAGATTTAAAAATCCATGCCTTGTCAATGCTGGAAATGCTAGTGAATTCTTGAAGTAACTTAGACTGCGAAGCATATTCTTCCTCAGTTGTTGCATCTATCCCCAGAGGTAGCTCCTTTAATGGACCAGCTTTAGAACCGTCCATGGCTAAAAATGTTGACAATCTTTTACTACAGAGTAGATTGCAATGAAGATATTGTTAATACATGAAATCAAAAAGGGTAATGAAAGTACGTAGATAATCAACAAGTTCTGGAAAAAGGGGGTTGGTGGGAGAGTCTAACACATAATATGAAAAGAACTGAAAATGGCATCTAAAAGAAAATATGTTTTCTTGTTTTTCTTTAATGATGCAATGAGAATTAGCATGTCATTCTTTCTTCAACAGAATATAGAAGATCCACATTCCAACAACAGAAACAAGTACTTTTGCAGTTGATAATTTTAAGGTAGCCTTGTGCAAACAGTTAACCAGAATTCGAAAGCAGTATCAACATTAAGGGCCCTCATGGTTCTCAAATAACTAAATATAATGGAAAGTAGAACAAATCGCTAAAATTTAATCCCACAAAAAAATTTCGTCATATCCATCACCATGATTCCATTTGGTAAGGATTTACTAGCAAATTTGAGCAATATGGTTTTATTGGAATTCTGTTACTAACTTGAAATTTAGAATTGCTCAGTTATGCCCAGAACCAATGATCCTTTTTGAGATATTGGTATTGAGAATCTAATTCCAAATGTGCTATAAGGCGGCTCCTCCATCGATCTAGAGACAATATGCTACACATAATCTTGAAAAAGGGAAAATGGTAATCCAAAGTAACAATAAAAAACATTATACATTACTTCAAGACTTCAAAGGAACGTGTAATTCAAAGATTTCCACACTACCCAACAAAAAAAAAATGAAGACCAGAACAAGCAATATGAATCAAAGTACTGAGCTAAGAGAGATAAAGAAGGAAAAGAAGAAATAACAGCTACCATCTAAGCAGATCAGCATAAAAACTAGATTCAATTACTAAAAGTCAACAGAATTGAAGTAAGATGACCATAGAGGAAATATAAAAAAGGAGGGCGAAAGAGAGAGCTCACGTAGAGAAAAAATAGCGAAAGGGTCTCCAAGTGAGAAGAAGAGTGGGAGGGTAAGATAAAATAGGAGGGGGAGAAGGGTATCTGGGACAAAGCAAGTTGACGCACCAATCCGCGGTGGTTTTGCTCAACAATGCACTGGCCATTTGTAGGCTACGGCTAAGGTAAGGTTGGGCTGTTTTAGGATGTCCATGCTCAAGCCTCAAGGCTAAGCCACTGTATTGTGATAATTTTTGTTGGGTTCACCCAATTTTAATCTTTTATTTGGGTTCACCATTTATTGAGAAATGTAGCTACATTTCCCTCTTACATTTTTCATTCATCTTGTGTACGTGAATTCTACTCATACATAGATCTATATATTTAGAAACTATTTAGAATTGCTTTTTTGGACAAAAAAATAGTTTCACTTATTTAAGGTGTTTGATAAAAATAAAATATCCTGATTATTTTGAAAGCAATAGCCTCTTGACAGCATCTTTTCAAAACTCCTTTTAGAAGAAGCAGATAAGAGTCTTTAATGAATATTTTTCAATTCCCATAATACCATCATTAATTTTTTAAAGTGACATCGTCTAACACCACCACCACAACCACATAGTTAGCACATAACACTTTCAACATTATATCCATTTTAGTCATTATTCACAATTATAATAGTTTTATATTAAAATTGACCAAATGGTTTTTACACCGTTTTTTATACTAACAACACTTTAAGAATATTGTTTATTAAACATGGAACGGCTTTACTTTACAATTGATTATTTTTAAAGCACGATAGAAGTAGCTTTTTAAAAAAGTGATAGCAATCCCAAACTGGACCATAGTGTGTTAAAAAAAAGTTTATTCTATTTACAAGCAAAATATTAGTACTTTGTATTAAATATATATTTATGTGTAAATAAAATACACATGGCACAAAATTAACAAAGACAACAAAAAAAGGAAAGTAAAATGAAAGGTAACTAGCACTCCTATTTCAACATATGCATGCAACTTGAATATAGCTTTGTGTTGTATACCAAATGTGAGATGTGAACCAAATAAATAGGCATGTCCCTTAATCTGGGCAGATGGCTAGTAAACTTTATTAGCATTACTCTATTAAAGTCCCACAATGTTTTCCCTCAAACACTTTATTTTGAGAAATTCCTTAACTGAAGGATTTTGTGTATATGTACTTTATACAAGAGATACTTGTGTGGAGAAAATGGTAACATGCTCTCGAGTGTGGTTGTTAACATTCTTTGCAATACAATCACTTGAATTATAACTTATGAGTGAATATAAAATACTACGATAGTATGGTCACGTGATACATTTTATACACGTATTATAATATAAATGGATATTTATTGATATTATTCCCTAAATTGGAGGGGGGGGGGGGGGGGAGGGGGGAGAAATAGGGACATTTTGGAAAAGGCAAAAGGAGAGAGAAATATTTTTAAATGAAGCCAAAATTGACAAAAATGCCCTCATTATTTTTGAATTTCCTAAGGAATCATTTGCATGTTTTTTATTTGAAAGTTGAGGGGTTTTTTCTGTATTTTTCGGAAAAATTTTGGCTTTTTCCAAAAGTAAATTTTTTTTTTTGTGACTAAAACCTAAATTTACTTAAACGATATTGTCCACCCATATTAAACACATGTACAAGATGTACCATATGACCATACTAACATAGTATATTCTATAATTTCTCATAACTTATAAGCTAATTGCAGTACAATTTTTAATATGAGTTTGTCATTTAAAAATAATGAATAAAAAAAACATTGTTGGACTAGAGCACTACTCAAACATGGCCCACAAGGCAAAGCAAACCCATATCCAGTCCAACAAGCACATACACATAAATCATGATCAGACTACCTCCTGTGAGGCAAACTCTGGAAAGACCAACAGAGAGAGCCACCGTGCACGCATACGTCAATAAAATACCGAGAAATCCTTCTTCCTCAATACGTGGCAAAATACAATTAGTCATTCTCAAGGTTTAAGGATCACCACAAGTGACCGTAACAAACCTTACCATTGCAGATAGCGCGCAATTGAACCTCACACAACGGCCACAAAATCGAAGATAAACCAGAAATGGCGGTTTGCTCCTCCCTCGCAGTCGTCTGCCCCTGCACTGTGCCCAAACTCAGCTCCAAGCTACCGAAAACTAGGGTTAAGGTTTCCTCAGGTGATCAGAGTTTCACAACCTCCAAATTGTACGGAAAATTGGGGAAGAAAAGGCTCACTAGGTTGAATGCAGCTGGGTTCGCGGAGATTGAGCCTGATCTCAACGAAGACCCCCATGATCGTTGGGAGACTAACAGTATCAGCATGGTACAAACATTCACAGACTATATATATATATAAAATTAGATGAATTTATCTTGATTGATGATTAATTAAGAATTCAAATGTGGTTTATTTTTCAGGAAGATTTTAAGTACGGTGAGTATGATGGGCACCACACTTACCACGAAGGCGAGGACAAAGGTATTCTTACTTTAAATTTGTATATAAAAAAGTAGTTGAACTTGACAATAGCATAGTTATGAAATCATGAGTAATATTCCTTTTAGCTAGCACTTAGGCCGGGAGTGTTACACGTTATGTTGCTAAACTTTGAATTAGAACCGCATCGGATATGATTTCTTCTAATCGATGTTTACCAGTGCAGTGATGTAACATATAAGCTTGTTTGATAAAAGAACCTTTAAGAGTATATGGTGTTTTTGTTATGATTGACAAATATGTTTTGGTACTAAAATTGTAATGTTAACAAGATTTTAAGGACTTTACAAGGGATGGTAATTAAATTTGCAGTGTTTCCCCCGCCCCCGCTAGAGCCAGTTATAGAGAATATTAGACAACGAAAACACAGTAGTATCCAAGAGGTTATTGAGCAATAACATCTAAGGAGTCATTTTAGAGCTATGAGTTTGGTTCAATTTTCCCTCCTTATGGTTGAGATTCTCACAGACTGCTCTCTCTGATCCAGGAACTTTTTGGGGATCCATAGCAGAAGACATTGAAGCAGTAGAAACCCCTACGGGTTTTCAGGGTATAACAACTTATAGCTGAACTTTGATAAATCACTAGCTTACATTACAATGAACATCATCTGGTATGATTGTTTTGGCAGGTCTTATATCATGGCTTTTTCTCCCTGCAATTGCTACTGGGATGTTTCTCCACGTTCCGGTAATGCCACTTTTAGATGTGACATATATGAAGGATGGAGTCATTTAGGCCATCTAAATATGATGTTTTTGCTCGTCGTCAATGGGAAATCTTATGCAATTACTTTGTTTTTCAGGGGGAGTACTTGTACATCGGAGCCGGTCTGTTTACGATTGTATTTTGCGTCATTGAGATGGATAAGCCAGATAAACCCCACAACTTTGAGCCTCAGATATACAACATGGAGAGGGGAGCTCGTGACAAGTTGATTGCTGACTACAATACCATGAACATTTGGGATTTCAATGAGAAATATGGAGATCTATGGGATTTCACTGTGACTGTGAAGAAGGAAGATATAATGAAGAGATAATTGATGTTCTGTAAATTCCACCATAATGGGAATTCTAAACCAACTTGTGGATGAAAGGTATAGCTAATTTTCTAAGGCCTCTTTTAATATTCTGCAATTCTCTATGTTGTCCTTTCTTTCTGCATTGTCCTTTCCACTTCCTTGTTTATATATTAGGCGTTGTAATTGTAAATTTAGAAGCCAATGAGAACACATAATTTTATTAGATTTTCTTGGATGGTGTACAAATTACATAACCTATGCAGCATGTACCTATTTGTCAGCTCCGCTTCTCCTTAAGAATAAGAACCCATCTGTCAGTCGAAATAGGAATGTTTGACTTGGCTTGTAAATTTGAAAAGGGTTATCGTTTTATTAGTCCATGAATTTTGACTCGATTTGCATTTGAGTATCTCAATTTCCAAAATAGTTCCCGTGGTCCTTTAACTTTAGTTTCGTTTGGACAAATGGTCCTCCTGTCAATTTTGTTAACTTTTTTGGTTAAATGCAGGGGCAATATGGTATTTTTATATTAAAACAAAAAAAAAGAATAAAAAATCATATATTTAAAATAACAATAAAATCAAATAAAATAAAAAACCACAAAAATAATAATAAATAAATCAAGTTTTGGGGGAGTAGAAATCCGGATAGAGGGGGAGAGAGAGAGAAAGTTTAATTTTAATTTTTTATTCATATTTTAATAAATTTTGATAAAAATACCATTTTGCCCCTGCATTTAACAGAAAAGTTAACAAAATTGACGGCATGACTATTTGTCCTAATGAAACTAAAGTTAAAGGACCATGAGAACCATTTTGGAAATTGAGGGACTCAAATGCAAATTAGGTCTAAATTCAAGGACTAATAAAATAATTGTCTAAGTGACACAAAATCAAATATTGCTGCTCATCTTGGTGCATGTTGTCCTCTTCCAATTAAAATGGACAAGAGTTTTGGTCATTTTTTTTTTTTTTTGGCGAAAGGAGTTTTGGTCATTGTTTGATGCGTTGAGACTGAACTTTTTAAAATGGACAATAACCCAATATATTATGTCTTATAAGTCCCACCTAAACGGATGGAATTTATGAGAATTGATTTGAACTCAACTTCAATCCAATCCAATCCAAGCCGGGCACTACTTCCTCCTGTCATGGTTCTAAAAACCAAAACCATTAAAAAAATTAAAACAAAAAAAAAAAAAAAAAAAAAACTAAGACCATATATGTTTCCGTTGGCTTTGGTTTTGAGCTTTGCAAGATACTATTTGTACCAGATATTATTTTTTCATTTGGTTTTCAAAGTCAAACCCATGTCCCATGACTATTATGTTCTCTAGAAGCAGTCAAACAGTGGATGGAAATGTCAACTGTAAACTTAATGATCTTCTGTAAGAATTTTGGATCTGGTGGCCACCGTTGGCCCCAAAGAGAAAGACTTCTGTTGGCGACCTCTCGTATACGGCACTCTGTCTTGGCGTCCGTCTACCGTCAACATTAATGCAAGTGAAATCATAATCAAACGCATGACTTCAATTTCTCACATTGACCCCCAAAAAAAAGACTTCAATTTCTCACAGATATTTTTCTTCTCTCAACTGTAATTAGCTTGAAAGGCATGTTATGGCAGAAATTTTCCAGCTCTTAGTGGTATTACCACTGTCTTCCAATACAAACCTCTGTAGTAGTTGTAGGTCAAGTTTTGGAAAGTAGGATCATTCAAATGGAGTGTCACCTGGGATAAATAATTCATACTGTCAGTATGGAATATGCGTATGCTACAGTGAGTCGCTCAAACTCTCAATTGTTCCTAGTAAAACCCATTAAGTCTTAACAATTCAATGGTTCTACTATCATAGGAGGTTCTGATCAGAAATCCAAACTTTATTATATCGACTTGATCTGAACAGAACAAATCCACTGGATCATGGTTATGGATTACTGACTAGACGGGTTTACCTGGTTGACTAGAAAAATTGTATAAGTTGGAAAAACTTTATGTGGTGGGGCCCTGATCCAATTGACGATTGGAAAATAGACAAATACACTGTACATAAGCATCTTTGACCACAATCTTGACAGGGTTTTCCAGTTCTTAATTTTCTTCCACTTCAAATAACACCAATACATTACATTATATATATATACAGGTAGATCTAATTCAGAGACAAAACAAAGAGCAAGAACTAGAAAAGAAGAAGAAGAAAAAAATGAGTACCAAACCCAAGTTCGTCTCTTCTGCCCTGCTCTTCTTCCTCTACTACCATCTCTTTCTTCACCATTCACAAGCTCAAATAGTATCAAGACCAGTCACTGAAGGCTACACCTGCATAGCCAACCAGAGCACCTATCCATGCCATACCTATGTCTTTTACAGAGCCTCGGCTCCTGACTTCCTTGACCTTGCCACCATAGGTGACCTCTTCTCTGTTAGCCGCTTCATGATTTCAAAACCAAGCAACATCTCCTCCTCAAACGCAACTCTCGTCCCTGACCAGCCTCTTTTTATCCCAATCCCTTGTTCCTGCAATTCTCCCAACGCCACCATGACCATTTCTTATGCCAATCTCTCAGTCACAATCAAATCAGGTGACACTTTTTTCCGCCTCTCGAGCCGCAGCTTTCAAAACCTCACCACATACCAATCTGTTGAGCTTGTTAACCCTGATCTTGTGGCTACCAACTTGACAATTGGTGTCACTGCATATTTTCCGATCTTTTGCAAGTGCCCAAACAGAACCCAGTTGCAGAACCAAGTCAATTATCTCGTCTCCTATGTGTTTCAGCCTTCTGATAACATATCAGCAGTTGCTTCACTGTTTGGGGTGCAGGAAAAATCTATAACTGATGTTAATGGCAATAACATTCAGCCTTTTGACACCATTTTTGTACCAGTGACTCAGCTTCCAGAGCTTTCACAGCCTGATGTTACTCCTTCTGCTGCAGCTTCTGTGAAGACTGAGAGGAAAGGGTTAATAAGAGGATTGGCAATTGCGTTGGGGTTCACTGGGTTTTTGTTGATTTTGGTTGTTGGGTTTTCAATTTACAGAGATGGTAAGTTGAAAAAGAGGGTAGGTAGGAAGGGAGATGAGGAGAAGGAGAACCAAATTCTGTATAGGAGCAAACAGGGATCTAAGCAGTCAAAGGAAATGGAGGTGAGTTTGATGGCTGATGTTTCAGATTGCTTGGACAAGTACAGAGTTTTTGGAATTGAAGACTTGAGAGAGGCTACAAATGGATTCAGAGAGAATAGCTTGATTGAAGGCTCTGTGTACAAAGGTTCCATTAATGGAGAGCTCTATGCCATCAAGAAGATGAAGTGGAATGCCTATGAGGAGCTCAAGATCTTACAAAAGGTAATTTAACTTTTTGCTTTTGTTTTTCTTTTTACCCTTTGTTTATGTTAGATTCACACAGGTCCACATAGAAACATAGAAACATAGAAACAAGGACTTTTCTACCGGAAAAACTTGTGTGAAAACGGTGTGCTATCCCAGCCAATCACCAACTGCCACATGCAAAGTTATTATGCGCATGTCGTGATTGGTCGGGGCACAATTATTTCTTATTTTCTAGCCACACGTAGAAGGTGTCAATTTAGACTTTCATATAACAAGGATATCACTTTTTGCTATCCCGGACTGATGACGTAATAACACATGAGATAAATTTTCTACGTGTTATTGTATTATCAACCATGATAGCAAAATAATGTTAACCACGTTACAAGTAAGTTTTTCTGCATAAATTGGCCACCTTTTGCTTTAGGACCCAAAAAGATTTTGTTTTAAGGTTTAGAGCTTTTTTGTTTATTTTTGTACAAGAGATATTGCGATATTAGAGGAGGGAGGAATGAAAAATAGGACGTCAAATGTAGGAATAACTCCTCTTAACCACTCTTAAGTTTTTAAGATCTCTGTTAAAAAACTGAACGTTAAACTCAATAGCAATACCAGAAGGAAAGAATAAAAATTAGGCCACCGAATTTGAACTGCTTCTGCCGTAAAACTTTATTAACAAGCGTGTTATATAAAATAAACTGTGGTCGATGTCAGCTCATTTGAATGATTCTTCTCATTACGTTAAACCAAAAAGGCTCAGTTAAGCAAGGCATGGCATTTATGCAAGTTGTTTATCTTTTAATTAATAATTAGTAGTACAATTAGGGTTCGTAAGCATGTTTTGGCTGGTAGGTACAAGAACAAAGTCACAAATAGTGGTGAGGAAAAGGTTGAATCATTCCAAAAGATTAAGGATGCAGAATAGGACAGCTGTTAAAAAACCTCATTATAAATTGCTCGGTTGCTAATATTCAATTATTTACTGCTAATCTAAATATGGTTAGGTAATCTTGTAATGTGACTTGTCTGCTTATTAGGGTTTATCTTCTATATATATATATAAAGCAAAAGGCAGAGAATGGTGAAACATTCAAAATACCATAAAATGCCCTTAGTTAATTCGAACATTAAGAATTGAAATTATTAATTAAATGAGGATAATATAGTAAATTCATATTTTTTCATATTAAAAAATTAAAATTAAAAACAAAATCAGATAATAAGTTCTCCTTTTATTGAACATAACTACCTATGTTATCTTTTCTTAATTTTAAAAATAAAAGAAAAAAGAAAAAAGAAAACCAATTGGCACATGCTCTAGGGGCTAGTTATTATTAAAGTTTTGAAATATTGTATCTCATTTGGTAGGAAGCTTTGAAATATTACTTAGGTTTAACGCATGCCAAAGAAGAAAACAATGCTAGAAAATTTGTTTGCCGTCAGTGGTGTCACATTTGGGTCCATTACTTAGGTTTAAAAAAAATATGGTGTTCGCACGGTAATAATGTTAGGACGTCTACATAGGAGAAAATCTATAGACATATATATTGGAAAATGGTGATGAGCTTTATAGATAAAATGAAGGGCTTTTAATTAATAAGCTCATTTTAGCGACATATTATACAATTACTCATATAAAATTTATTTGGAGAGAAAAACTCAAAATTAGTCACTTGTCATTTTCTAATTGGTTATTAGTGTGTTAAAAATTTCTAAAACCAATTAGAAAATGACAAGTGGCTAGTTTTGAATTTTTCTCTCTAAATAGGCTCTATATAAGTAATTGTATAATATATCATGTTAAGATAGACTTATTGCTAAAAACATGAAGTCAAATATTGTGTTCGTTGGACTTTTAATGAAGTAAAATATTGCGTTCATAAACCATGTGCAGAAACTTCCAAACGTGCCCTTGCAATTTTGTTTTCTAGTCATTCTTTTTGGTTCAATAGTTGGATTTGGACGGTATGTATTTGGTTGGGAATCATTTTTCATGTCTTATAATAATAGGCTGGCTAAGGTCAAAGTGGACATTTCCTTGCCCTGTATGCTTCTGGTCAGAAGAATTGAATTAGACTGTTTAGATAAAAGTCCAGGCTTGGAGTTGAAGGCCTAATCTTCATGAGTATGGGCCTTGCACTAATTTCCCTCCCATAAAAAATAAATAGAACCGAACAAAATTTGAAGATTATTTTCCCTTAATTTACTATGCTCGGCCAAATTTAAGAGTTATAATTGACAAAACAGTGGGTTTCAAATTTTGTAGGTAAACCATGGAAATTTGGTGAAGCTAGAGGGCTTCTGCATAGACCATGAGGATGATTGTTGCTATCTAATTTACGAGTTTGTCGAAAATGGTTCTCTATATTCATGGCTGCATGAAAACCATAATGAAAAATTGGGTTGGAAAACAAGGCTGCGAGTTGCTATTGATGTTGCTAATGGTCTCCAATACATTCATGAGCACACAAGGCCGAAGGTTGTGCACAAAGACATCAAGAGCAGCAATATTCTCTTAGACTCGAACATGAGAGCCAAAATAGCCAATTTTGGGCTAGCAAAGACTGGTTGCAATGCCATAACAATGCACATTGTTGGAACTCAAGGCTACATTGCACCGGAGTATCTAGCTGATGGGGTGGTGTCAACAAAAATGGATGTGTTCTCTTTCGGGGTGGTTTTGCTCGAGCTTGTTTCGGGGAAGCCGGCCATTGATGAAGGTGGGAATGTTTTGTGGGCAAGCGCTGGTAGGATTTTGGAGGGGAATGAGGAAGAGAAGGCAAGGAAATTGCGTGAGTGGGTGGACAGGGAACTTTTCTTGGAGTCTTGCTCAATGGAAAGCATAGTGAATGTTGTGACTGTTGCCATTGCTTGTGTGCATAGAGATCCTTCAAAAAGGCCAAGTATGGTAGACATTGTTTATGCCTTGTGCAAGAGTGATGATCTGTTTTTTGACATCTCCGATGATGGATCATCGGCTCCCCCAGTACGAGCGAGGTGAATCCTGATGAACTAAGCAATTCCTTCTTTTTGTTTTTTTCCCCTTCCTTGTTTGGCGAAAGAAAGAGTCGAATTCTCCTCGTGAATACAAGTGTGTGGTATCGTCTATGTAGTTTCGCAACTATTTGAATTTGCTAGTAAAGACTATGTACAAGAAAAAAAACAAACCATGAGCAGTAAAAGTTTGAGTCACATGTATCTGTAAATAAATAAATCTGTTTCTACTTGTAACATTTTCGTCATGGTGACATATGTAGCTGGTGAACAGGATACGAAGTTTTACTTTATAGCAGCAGAGAGTATGTCAGAGTAACGACCAAATCCAACAACTGACGGAAGCCTGTGAAACAAGTGGGGCAAAGAAAGTGAAAAGGACAGGACCCAGCTCTAGCCTCCCGGCTTCTAAAACCCTGACTGTTAACTTGATTTGAGTCATATCAGCGAAGAAATAAAAGGGTTGGAGGAACCTAATAGCCGGGAAAGAGAAGCATTAAATTCTAATTGAAGGCCCATTAAATTACCAAGAACACAGCAAGAGCATAGGAAGTAAGAACTCTATGGTCTTGTAGATCACGTCACTTGTCCGGCACACACAAACAAAAAGACTCGTATATTGAGATTAGACCGGTATGAAATTCAATGTGTGACTAGACATGTGATATGATTCATCTGCTGGGACCAAAGAATTGTGCTAGCTAGTGTGGGAGGTCACTCTCCAACCACATCAACTTTGCAAAATAACAAATCTAGCATTCAAATCATGTTCAAAAAGCTGAAACCCCCAATTGGCATTTTGTTTCCTTTTGGTCAGGATAAGGCATGGTCCTAGAAACTCCTAGTGATTGGGTGTCACAGTGGTCCTTGTTTTGCCATTCACTTCAATGAGTGCCAGAGCTTGTTTATTCCATTTTGGTCTGTTTTAGCTAGCTGCTAAAACATCCTTATTAGAAGACTGTTACAATGACCTTTTCCAATGAGATTTTAAAGTAACAAGATTCTTTACATTTGGATAATCAACATGAAATTTTGACCTTAAGCACACAAAAGACTTTCAACTTAGTTTGTTGTACCGTCAACTAACCTAGTGTCGTATTATCTATCTATTAGTCCTTGGTTGTCTTTTTATTTTGATTTTTTATACAAACGATATTATATGTTAATATAATCTAAACTATACGGGGGAATTGGAACTCAAATATATAATAAGAGAGCATATTCACTATAGCCAACTTGGCTAAACTCTTATCCATGCATCGAAAGATTAGGGCTTTTTTAAAATTTAAAATGAATAGCTCATGTAGGCTTTAACCATACGTTTGACTTGGAATTACTGATTATCAACCTAAAGCATAATTTATTCGTGCATGTCAAATCAAAGGTTTTTTTATATTATGAATGGTCTTTTAAAATTTATTCTGTTACTTTCTGTTAGTGATCATTATTTCCCTCATGCTTCAACAATCCACCTCCTCCACTCACTTGAGTTGAGACGATGAAGAAGGTATAACTGGTGCGTACGTACCCTTCTCGTGTATCATTTTCTTGATGTCAATCAAGTAGTGGAATGACAAAAACCATAAAGAAAGACAAGTGACAAGTTGAAAACGGAAACCACGTGACTGATTCATCAATTCAATGAAAACGGAAACCTAGTGACAAAAAACCTTAATAATAATCAGGTGAAGATTCAATCGTATATTAAAGAAAGTTTCAAAGATTCATAATATTAGTACACCCCCAAAAAACGAGAAGGGATTCTAATGTTCATAAAATAAGCCACGTGATCCAAACATGTATCTGATATATATATATATATATATGTGTGTTAAATGATAATAATCTTACCAATCTCAAACCACTTAGGGGTCGTTTGGTACATCGGATTGTATTGACTAATTTCAGTCAGATAGTATTAATTTGTTCTGGATAGTACTGATTGTTTATCCGTAATATTTTAAGGCGTTTGGTACTGCACTGGATAAATAGTCTGACTAAGTTATACAATATACTGTGTTTAGTGCTCCGTCAGATAACAATGGATCGAACTCCATAAATAAAAAAGAAAAAGTAACTCAATTTAATTTAATCGAGGTGTACTAACATCCTATACCTGCAACGTACAATGCTAGATTTACCACACCACACACAAACAAAAAAAAAAAAAAAAAGAAACTACAGTGCGATTCTATATCATCAATGGATCTTCAATGCCATTCCATCATCAAGGATGTATACAATTATGTTTCGCTTGGGAGGGCCTATCCTGTCGATTGTGAGCATAGAAACCACAACCAGAACCATAGAAATTAATGTTTCTCTGTTATCAATAATTCAACCCAAGAAACATAAATCCAATTTTTGAACCTCTACTATCAAATTCACCAAATTCTACTATAAGGTCTTTTGCTTCAGCGTTTTATTTTTTCAATCGTAGTCCATCCCAAATCTTCTCAACACATCCAACCCCCAATCTGGAACATGAGCAGCCCCCACCGACGCCCACACCCAGAGTCTACCAATCTATAAAAAATTCTGTCAATTGTGTTTCTACACAATCGAATATCCAAATATGTATTGAACAACGCATAAGATGGGCATCGATCAAAACTAAAAGGGAATGAGAATCTGTGGTTTAAGAGGAGGGGACTGATTGAGTCTATGTCTATGGTACAATGGATTATTCGTTAATTAGGTGCTGGAGGAAGAGCCAACATGCTGGGGTTAGAGGTTCATCGGAGTAGTCATTAGTGCTGATCAATCCATGAGAGAGAGAGAGAGAGAGAGAGAGAGAGAGAGAGAGATAGATATGAGGAGAAGATAGCAAAGAAGAAATGTAGAGCGTTTTTTTTCTTTCCTAACCTTATAATTAAGCGTGTATTATCTAAGCCGAGGTGTGTGGGTTGTATTAGTTAGTCGGGTAAGGAGAGTATTAAAAATCTAATCCGCTTAATATAGTCCGATAATTAAATAATACAAGTTGACACCAAACAATTGACATGAACTATTTACTCCTATCTAGAGTCTAATACGATGTACCAAACATACCCTTAAGGGACAAACGTGAGTTAGATCAGTTGGTTAGGATAATGAACTCGTCCTCTTGCACTTAAATTCGAGTCATTCTCTCTAACCTTACTTGTATTAAATAACCACCTAAGACTTATGGACATCCAAATTTCCATGCAATAAAATTTAACAAAACTTCGTATATGAAATTTGTTGAAGTTTTCTTATTCAATCATATATTCTATGAAATCTTTGTGTGAAAAATAAAATCACATCATTATTCATATATGGATTGCCATGTCAAATAAGTACATTTTTTCTTCTTCTTATAAAATAGAAATATCATGCCATTATCATTGGCAATCCATTCCTCAAACAACAAACATATCATGACATTATCTTTACAAAAACAAAAATACAAAAATTCTCTTTTTGCTGTTCTTGTTTGACTGAAATACAAAAAAAAAAAAAAAAAAAAAAAACAACCAAAGGTGCGTGGTGGTCATTACTTAAACTCGAAGCACTGTGGGTTTCCAAAGAGCTGACAAGGACTGTATGCTTGCGAGGACTTTGAGAGGGGACCAGGTGGGTCCATGTTATGTTGGTGCCTCGTGTAGATTACCAAAAGCCTGTTAATATTGAAAAAGACAGCTCAGACTTTAATGAATCTCGCTTTCTCTTCTTTTCTCACTTTTCTTTGTGTTGCTGCTGCCTTTGTGTTCTGTCTCCTCGTCGGCCCCAGTTTCTTTCTTCCGAACCTCAAACTCAAACATCTCTGACACTACACACAGCAATGGTTGTGAGTCAGTTGCAGAGCTTGCAGCTATGCGTTTTTCCTCGTCGAGTTCCTCCTACACCCAACCGTTTTTCTTCCTCAAAGAGGTATTTGTTCTTCATCTTTTCAATTACCCAAAGTGGCAGTTCTTCTTGATGCCATTTTGGTTTTGTTTGTGTGTTTCTGTGACAGTGTGTTTGTGGTATTTGATTATATGGCATTGGCATTCATATGAGAATTTTAGTGCGGTTGGTTTTCTGGACATTCAAGGTCAAAAGGGTTTATTTGCTGGTTTATGAATTAGTTTATTGTTGCTGCTATGCTTTGACCAAACTAATTTCAACCTCATCACTTGGTAGTTGGTTGGTGTTCTGGGTGGATTTTAATCCTCTTAAGTATTTGGGAACTGGGGAGTGCTTGAAATTCTTAGCAGGTGAGATGAATGTTATGCGAACCAAGAGATTTCAGGTTTTTACCTATTGGGTAATGCCAAATTCTGTGATAAATAAAAGTGTGAACTTGTTGGAGTTGGTAGTTTGGTAGACAAAGGGAGTGTGTTGGTTTGCCTAGAAGGAATTCAAGTTTTTTTTATGTTACTAAGTTTAACTGGATGGAGCTGAAGTATGGTGGCAAGGGCAAGGGAGTGATCATCATGAATTTGTTGAGGACTTCTCTAGGTTTCGGTTCACCTTTCCTTTGCAGAATGACATACTGGATTTCATTGATAATCTAAATACTTTGGCTTAAATGTTTTACTATTCCGTGGATCTTGAATGAAATGCTCTGCATAAGCTACCTTATTATTTTGGCTAAGTACTAGTTTACTAATTGCCTTTCGCATGCTTTGGTTTCTGCCGTACAGTGACATTCACATCGTTGCCTGCTTGGATTTTGGAAGTATGCATTCTTCCTGTAGAGTAGGAACTTATTGATGAGAATGATTAGTTAATGTCTGATGTTACACACATAAATGTCTCATGGTTGAGTTCCATTTATAATTGCTGATCAAACTGCTAGGTGTTGAGGAACCAGTATGCAGGAATATCAGATTTAGTGACGTGATTGATTATATAGTATTATGTATGAAAGCTTTCCTATTTCTGTCCGAAGCGTATTGTGTGATAATACCATTTTATGTAACGGAGGGAAATTGTAATTTAGAATGCATTTGCTCATGTCTGTTTTTGTACAATGTACTATATGTTACACGTATGGGAGCA